CCTGCGAGGGGGGGCGGGGGAAGACCCGCCGAGCTGGCCTGCGCAGGGCAGCCCAGCGGAGATCAGTGTAGAGCACACCTTGGAAGCGGCGGCGTCTTTTTGCGCCGTCCACCTGCTTAGGATGGGGCTCTTTCAGTCCGCGTCTGCTCCGCCAGCTGCCGAGGCCCCCGGCCCAGTCTTCTGTCGGCGTCTTCAGCTCTTGGGAACGGCACCCGAAAGTCGGACCGATGCGGCTCGTCCTCATGGTTTTCTTGGACAAACCGTCAGGGGGAGTCCGCCCAACAGTGTTGCTACCCCTTTGGGCTCAGGCCTGGAGCAGGATTCGTCACGGGCTGCGCTCGAAATGGGAGCGCGTTTTGGGCGTTCGGCTTCTCTGGCGAATGGGCACGAGCACAGCCTGTGACAAGAGAGCATGGGCGCACAACGCTCTTGCAGCGCATGCGAGGATGGTCCCCGGTCTGGAGACTTGCACTCTTGTTCTGGACATCCGCAAATGTTACGAACATATTTCTCATCTGGAGCTGCGATCTGCAGCAGAGAACGCAGATGTTCTCCTGCCCTTGTTCCGTGCTTACTGTGCAGAGTACCGAGCGCCTCGTCGAGTGACTTGGCAGGGGTCAATCAGTCGCCTCCTTTTTTGCAGCGGCACGGTTATTGCAGGTTGTTCGGGGGCCACCTCTTTGGCTCGCCTCCTTTTGCTTGCCTGTCTGCGCCGAGCTGCCTATGTCAACCCCACGGTCTGGCTCAAAAGTGCGATTGACGACGCGTCCCTGCACGCCGTAGGTGGCGCTGGCACGGTCAGGCGCGAACTTGTCGCAGCTTACACCACCATTGCGACGGGCTTGAAAAAAGGGCCTGCCCACTGCTCGGAACAAGCTCGGCCTTCTGTCTTCTTCCACGACTCTGGCGGAGCAGGGTCTCGATGATTGCAACTTGCCGCCAGAAGTGAAGTGCCAAGTCCGTCGAGACTTGGGACGCGATGCGACCGACGGCCCCCGACGTCGGGCATCCACCCAGCAGGGCCGTTTTTTGGACGCCCAGAAGAAAGTTTCAAAGGTCCTCGCCCTCAAGGAAGCGGGAGCGTCCGTCGGGAACGTCTTCAGGGCTGGGGTATCGGCCAAGGCTTTGTGGGGGGCCAATATCCAGGGTCTCCACAATGGCAGGCTCAAGAGCCTCAGGGTCTCAGCGCTCCGAGCCGAAGGCCGTCTGCCGAGGGGCTGCTCGCTAGAGTTTGCCTCGATGCGCTCGCGAGGGGGGTGGTCTCGACCCGCTGGCGTTGCTGACGGCCGATGCAATTCGCACGCACACGCACATCCTTCGAGACGGTTTGCTGACCGACCCTGTTTTTGTGTTCAACTCTTTTTGCCGCGGCCTTTGCCACAGCCGAGAAACCAAGGCCCTGGGCTCGCGCAAGAGATCACATGGCCACCCTGGCCCTCACTTTAAGCCGCGTGGGTTTCAAATTGCTGGGCCCCTGGAGGGTCGTGAAGCCACAGGAGAGACCTGGAATCTCCGTGACCTTTCGCCTGCTTTTATTGCCCGCAGGGCCAAGTTTGCTGCCAGGCGTCTCTCGGACGCGGCAGGTCTGGCTAAGATTGGCGGGGGAAGGTTTTGGATCGGTGGTATATTATGGCGCCCTCTTAATGAACCTTTGCACCTCAAGGTCGCTGGAGATGGTTCGGGGGAGGTGGTGGTTGGGACTGGGGGTGCTTGGGGTTTTCGAGAGCAGCGAACATTGAGGGAATGGTCATAGGGTCGCACTGGTGCCAGCATTGGCTGCATCAACACGGCCAGGACCTATCTGACCAATGCATGCTCTGCGGAGAACTAGGCACCCTGTCCCACAGGCACTTTGCGTGCCCTGCCAGAGACGCGTGGCGTCGTGACATTCCCCCAGCTGAATTGAAAACCGCTGATCATCGTTTGTCTTCTTTGTCCGTGGACATCCACGAGCGTTTCGCTGAGGGCAACCGCCCCGACCCCTGTCAGCTATACGCGCGTACACGTCGGTCGGAAGAAGTGGGTAGAAACATGAAGCAGGAAGGCGGATAAAGCGGATCGGGTCCAGGCCCTCCCGGAGAACAACAGAACACAGCAGAAGCGTGCCGACTCTTGAAGCAGGAAGGCGCTTGAAGTAGATTGGGATCTGGGAATTCAAAAATACCTACATACTCTCAACGACCGGCGTGGTAAAAGCAACCGCCCCGACCCCCTGTCGGCTCTGACCGCGCGCAGGCCTCGGGGGGCCCGACGTGAGAGCCCAGGGGTGAAAGGGCAGGGTGCGCCACTCTCGTGCTCCGAGGGGGTCGCGACGTGTCTGCTTTTTGCGACGGCTCTGGCATGGACGCCTCCTCCGCCCTCCTCCTCCTCCTCCTCCTCCTCCTCCTCCTCCTCCTCCTCCTCCTCCTCCTCCTCCTCCTCCCCCTCCTCCTCCTCCTCCTCCTCCTCCTCCTCCTCCTCCTCCTCCTCCTCCTCCTCCTCTGCTTTGGACGGCCCTCGTCGCGAGCTGCGGGCTGGGGAGTAGCTGTCTATGATCACGAGCTTCGCTGGGTAGCAGGGTGGTTCGGTTCCGTCCCGCCCATGATGTGCCCAGATCAGGTTGCCAGAGATGGCGAAGATCATGCTGTGTTTGTGGCCGCTCGCTGCCGTGGCGGCACCTGCACTCTGTATTGCGACTGCAAGGGAACGCTCCAATGTGTTGAGAGTCGGAGGTTCGCTTGTCGTGCCAGCAATGTCAGGGCACATTTGTGGAGCCAGATCTTTGCCCAGGGCTCGCTAGGCGACATCTCCTGGAAAAAATGATGGCTCACACGTCGGAGGAGGATGTTCGTGAGGGGCGGATCTCGGACTTTCAAAGAACAGGCAACTTCGAAGTCGACCGCTTGGCCAAAGCAGGAGCCACCCTCAGCAGGCATGACCCCTCCGAGGTGTTGGCGGTTAAGGGCATGCTCTTTTTAGTGCGACAGCTGGCAAGGGTTATCATTCGTGCTGATGTCTTTTACTCAGAACAGGGCCGATACGACAACATTGGGGCCCAAGGGCTCACGTTGGTTTCCCTGGAGGGGGAACCCCAAATGGGAGAGGCTGTGGAGGTGGCTAGGAGGGAGGAGGAGGCGGCTGCTGCTGTTGCTGCTGCCCTCGCCCCGCCCCAACCCGAGAGCCCCTCCCAGTCCCCCCCCCCGAGCCCTTGGCGCCCGAATTGGCCCGACTGGCTGCGGATGCAGCCCAAGTCCCGTAGGCCGAGGGAGGCCACCATTTGCTGGAGTTCCCAGTCCCGGGAGAAAACCAGGCTCCGCTGTTGTGTTGCTCCACTTGTGGGGCCTATGCGACTATCGGCCTAGGGGCTCGTGGCCTCAAGGGGTCCTGTATTGGTTCCCAGGTTGCCCTGGTGGATCCAGGGCGCAAGAACAAGCGTGCCATGTCCAAGGGCAAACATCCCAACCGCCCTCTTGGGCTGGGCCCCCGGGTCTCTCCTGGGGCGGGGGCTCGGGAGCTGTTCGGGTGTTCTGTCGTTCCTTCAGGGGCCCAGCCAAGGGGAAGGCGGGGCGCGGCTGCCCCGAGTCGCCAGAATGGGCGGTATCTCTGCATGGCTGACTGCCTGCAGGCGTTTGGTCTCAACGAGGTGGAAGCCCGTAGCCCGGGGGACCAGGCTCCTTCAAAAAGAGCGGGCCGATTTGCCCGACGATGAGCTAGACGGTTTTGTTTTTTACTAGGGGGTCCTGTCTTTGGACCCTCGCAGATCTCGGGCTCCTGCCAGGGTGACGAAAAGGTCCTCTCCGATGGACACCCCCTGGGGCTTTTGCAGGACCGTCGGATCTCTCTCTCTCTCTCCCTCTCTCTTTCCCTCAATGGCGTGCGATCCTCGTCCTTCTGCTTCTCCTCCTCCTCCTCCTCCTCCTCCTCCTCCTCCTCCTCCTCCTCCTCCTCCCTCCTCCCCTCCATCCTCCTCCTCCTCCTCCTCCTCCTCCTCCTCCTCCTCCTCCTCCTCCTCCTCCTCCTCCTCCTCCGCTGCTTTTCCTTATAAATAACGTCTCCCTGTCACACCCCGAGGTCAGTTTTTCGGACGGTCTGGGCGCTTCGCCTGAGACGTCCTCACCATTTATGACCCTGAAGCTTGGAAAGTAGCAACAGTTTCACAGATGGAGGGCGAGTCGTTTTCAAAATGTGGCTCTCGCCTGAGCGCCGCGCACATTCGTTTCAAACTTTGCAAGAGCTTCACGGATTGAGGGCGGCTCCTTTTCAAAAAGTGGCTATCGCCTCAGCGCCGCGCACCTTCTTCTTATTTTCATGACAACAAAAAATGCGAAGGCTTCACGGGTTCGCATGGTCAGCGTACTAGAAATGGTGTTCTGGAGGGAATCCAGATTATGAGGGTGCAACAGCTACTTTGATCCTCGGTGTTGAAGTCCCAGGAATGGCGTTCTGGTACGATTCAGGGTCGTCAAAACGCAACAGTCAGGTTGATCCGTGGCGTTGGAATCCCGAGAACGATGTTTTGGCATGCATCAGGGTCTTCAATCGGTTGCCTTTCGACGAGGCAATTCCCTCAGTGGAAATGAACCCTTCTAGGGCCTATCAAAAGGGAGCCTGGAGGGAGGATTTATTCCAACATCGTTGATGACTCTTGGGGTTACACTGGTCCTCCTCCTCCTCCTACTCCTCCTCCTCCTCCCCCTCCTCCTCCTCCTCCTCATCCTCCTCCTCAACATGGTCCCCCCCGTTTCCCTCACCCTTCCCCACATAGTCCGAAACATAGTCCAAAACAGAGTCCCCCAAATATAGTCCGAAACCTAGTCCCCCCCCGTTTCCCTCACCCTGACCCTTCCCCCACCCCTTCCCCCCTCATCCTCCACTCCCCACTCCCCTATCCGCCCGCCCATTTTCCCCACCCTTCCCCTCTGCCCCCAGGTGGAAGGGGAGGAGGAGAGGAGGAGGAGGAGGAGGAGGAGGAGGAGGAGGACAGGGGAGAGGAGCAAAGGGATAGGGCCCCCCGCGGATATCCTGCGGCTTGGCAGCCCTCGCAGGCGCCCCCGCCACGAGCGTCTTCCTCTGGGAGAAGGAATGAACACAAGAACGAAGACTTAAGACGTCCGCAGACGGCAGAACTCCGCCGCCGGGAAGGAGGAGGGGGAGGGCTGGGAGGAGGAGGAGGAGGAGGAGGAGGAGGAGAAGGCCCCTGGACCTCTCCAGGCGTGCGCCCGGGCCAAAGTCTCGAGGGGGAATCGAGCCGAGGCGACGAGGCCGCCACGGGAGGCCCCAAAAGAGGCTCCGGACGTCGGAAGACCTCTATTCTCGAACCTCGATCTTCGCCCCCTCCAAGAGCCTTCGACGACGACGACGACGACGACGACGACGACGACGACGACGACGACGTCCTGGGCGCCCGGGGCGACGCCCCCGCGGGGGGCACCTGCCTCAGCGGCTGGCGCGAGCCCGCGTACCCCTGCGACGAAGCCACCTGGGGCAGGCCCACGTACGCCGACTAGCTCCAGCCCTCCTCCTGCCTCCCCCTCATCGTCTGCTTCCTCCTCTTCCTCCTCCTCCACCTCCACCTCCTCTCCTCCTCATCCTCCTCCTCTCCTCATCATCATCATCATCATCATCATCATCATCAGCATCATCCATCATCATCATCATCATCATCATCATCATCATCATCATCATCATCATCATCATCATCATCATCATCATCATCATCATCATCATCATCATCTCATCATCATTTTTTGTCTTCTTCTCTTCTCGTCTTTCCTCCTTCCTTCCTCCTCCCTCCTCCTCTCCTCCTCCTCCTCGTCCTCCTCCCTCCTCCTCCTCCTCCTCCTCCTCCTCCTCTCCTCCTCCTCCCTCCTCCGCCTCCTCCTCCTCCTCCTCCTCCCTCCCTCCTCCTCCTCCTCCTCCTCATCATCATCCTCCTCTTCTTCCTATTCCTCCGCCTCTTGGCTCCTCCTCCCCCTCCTCCTCCTCTTCCTCCCCCTCTGCTTCTTAATGTTATTGTTATATGTACGACTGGTATCATTATGACGATTAGTATTCTTATGATTGATAGTATGCGTCGTAGTAGTAGTAGTAGTAGTAGTAGTAGTCGTCGTCGTCGTAGTCGTAGTCGTAGTCGTAGTCGGAGTAGTAGTAGTAGTAGTAGTAGTAGTAGTAGTAGTAGTAGGTAGTAGTAGTAGTAGTAGTATTATTAGTAGTAGTAGTAGTAACAGTAGTAGTAGTAGTAGTAGTAGTAGTAGTAGTAGTAGTAGTAGTAGTAGTAGGTAGTAGGTAGTGGGTAGCAGGTAGTAGGTACTAGGTCGTAGGTAGTAGGTAGTAGGTGGTAGAAGTAGTAGTAGTAGTAGTAGTAGTAGTAGTAGTAGTAGTAGAACTAGCAGTAGTAGAACTAGTAGTAGTAGAACTACTAGTAGTAGTAGTAGTATTATCATTGTTGAATTCGTATGTTTAGTAGTATTGTGGTTGGTACTATGAGCAGCATTTTATTATCATTACTGTTAATACGAATAATACGAGCAGTAGAATTGCTTAGTTGTAATACGGGTCATGATCTTAGCACTCTTAGTGTCACTTTAATTAGTACTGTATTGGTTGTGCTGCTAGTAGTATACGTATTCACGTTCATCTTCGGACTCTCGTTCCTAGTGTTCGCAGTCTTGCTGTTAAGAAAAATATTAAGATTCTAAAATATACCTAGTATTGTTAGTAGTACTATAATTATGGTTGTTGCTATTATTCGTCTTCTCAATGTGCTTATGATTGTGCATTATACTGTTCATGGTAGTAGTAGTAGTAGCAGCAGCAGTATCAGTAGTAGTAGTAGCTGTAGTAGTTGTAGTAGTCGTAGTCGTAGTAGTGATAGTAGTGTCATTATTCTTACTAATAATAGTTTTGCTGTGCGTCTGAATATTACCAATAATATGATTCGTGGTGCTATTCTTATGTCCCTAAATATTATTATTCGTAGTCGTTTCTTACTTGTATTGTTAGTATCACTCTCAGTAGGATTATTCTTAATATCGTAATATTAGTTTTATTCGTAATGTGCGTAGTGGTACTATTGGTGCTAGCGTTATTCGTAATGGTGTTAGTGTTAGTCTTCGTGTTCGTATCATTTTTGTTGTGCGTATCATTATTTGCATTCGTATTATTACCCGTCCTCTTGTTACTCTTATTACTAGTAGCAGTCGTAGTATTCCTAGTTGCTTCTTGATATCAATCTTACTTTCATTCCTCCTCCTCCTCATCCTCCTCCTCTTCCTACTCCTCCTCCTCCTACTCCACCTCCTGGTTCCTGATTCCTGATGGCCTGAGGCTTCTTCGAACGCGGCCTTCCTCTTCATCCTCCTCCTCCACCTCACCTCCTCCTCCTCGTCTGCCTCCATCCTCCTCCTCTTCCTCCTCCAACAACAACAACTAACAACAACAGCAACACCAACAACAACAACAGCAGCGTGTATTGCATTATGTATAACCCAACCCTCGATACCGGCCCGTTTCGTCGTCGATCGCACCTCCTTTCGGGGGGGAATATCTTCCTTGTCGGCCACTGACTGCAGTGCGAGGTACTCTCGAGCGAGAGCGCCGTTCCTGAGTTTGGGGGGGCCAGGCCAAGGACTCCCGGAATACATATTCAGAAATATCAAACGGGAACCTTTGTCGCCGTGTCTGGACCTCCACCAATTTGCCTGAATTGCAAGAAAATCTCGAGCGAGAGCGCCACTCCTGAGTTCGGGGGCCTCTCTGGCAAGGGCCTCTGCAAATACACATTGAGGAAGTATCGAACGGAAGCCCTTGTCGTCGCACGTGGGCCTCCACCAATTTGATTGAATCATGAGAAAGTCTCGAGCGAGGGCGCCGTTCCTGAGTTCGGGGGCCTTCCTGGCCAGGGGCTCTCGGAGTGAATCGTGAGGAAGTATCCAGCAGGAGCCCTTGTCCTCGTGGTTAGGCCCCCGCCAACTTGACTGGATTGCGAGGAAGTCTCGAGCGAGAGCGCCGTTCCGGAGTTCGGGGGCCTCTCTGGCCAGGGTGTCTCGGGGTAAATTGTAAGGAGGTATCGAGCGGGAGCCGTGGTCGTCGTAGATGGGCCTCCAAAGAACCCACTTTTACACTCAAGCCAACGCTCGAGCGGGAGCCGCGTGTTCAGAGAACATGTAGCTGGCGTCGAGGCGAGAGCCCCGGAAACCGCTTCCGTCAGCAATGATTATTCTCTAGGCGTCGAGGCGAGAGCCCCGGGAACCGTTTCCAGAGATCAGCAACAATTATTCTCTAGAAGTGAGTATTCAACAGCAACAACAACCACAACAACAAGAACAATAATAAGGAAAAGAACGCCAACACCAACAACAGCAACAACAACAACAACAACAATCAGTTTAAGAATGTTGGCTCTTCACCGCTCGCGTACCAATCAACACCCAAAGCCTCGATACCCGCTCTCGTCGTCTTCGACCGTACCACCTTGGGGGCATATCTTTCTTACCTGCAACGTGTGTTTCGAGCAGCCCCTGAGGCAGGGGAAGAGAAGACGGATGGAAGGAAGGACAAGGGGGAAGTAAGAGGATGGAGCACGAGAGACTGGAAGGAGGGGGGCTAGGAGCAGAAACCACGTGGCAGAACAAAACGGGCAGATCGGGCGGGTGGACACTACGAGGCGGGTCGGGGGTTGCTCAAGCGTGCGTCCTGCATGAACCGCGAGGAAGCCTTGAGCGACAGCTCGATTCCCAAATCAATCGTGAGGAAATTCACAGCGACAGCGTGACTCCTGAATGTCGAGGGCGCGGCGTCTGGATAAATTGCGAGGATGTCCCACGCGGGAGCGCGATTCCTGAAAAAAATGTGAGGACGTCCCGCGCGAGAGCGCGATTTGGGAATAAACTGTGTGGAAATATCCGGCGGGAGCCGTTGCTGTTGTAGCTCGGGGGCCAGGAGCACAGTTTGAGGAGGAAGACTTCCCCTGATATAAAAAACAAGGTGCGAGCCGAAGAAGGGCACTTCAATTGTCAAACACATATGTTACAGGAAGGGGGATCAACAATAACTATTCTCAAGTAGTGAGAGTTCCACAACACCAACAACACAACAACAACAACAACAACAACAACAACAACCACAACAACAACAACAACAACAACAACAACAACAACAACAACAACAACAACAACCACAACGACGACGACGACAACAACCACAACAACAGCAACAGCAACAGCAACAACAACAACGACGACAACACTCAGTTCAAGATTGTTCGCTCTTATCTGCTCGCGTGCCACTCAACACGTATATCCTAAACCCTCGACAACCACCCTCTTCGTCTTCGATCGTATACCCTTGGGGGGTTATCTCTCTTACCTGCAACGTGTGTGTCGTGCAGCACCTAAGGCAGGGGAAGAGAAGACGGTAGAAGGAAGGGACAAGGGCGAGAGAAGAGGATGGAACACGAGAGATAGTAGCAGGACGGAAGTAGGAGCAGAAAACATGGGCAGAACCGGACAGGCAGATCAGGCGGGCAGACCCTAACAGGCGGGCCCAGGCGGCCAGGTCGAGCAGGCGGGTTGCTGAAGCGTGCGTCCTGCATGATTCGCGAGGATGCCTTGAGCGACAGCCCATTCCAAAATAAATCTCGTGAGGAAATCCAAAGCGAGAGTGTGATTCCTGGGTGTCGAGGGCGCGGCGCCTGCATCAGTTGCGTGGAAAACCCAAGCGACAGCGCGATTCCTGAGTGTCGAAAGAGCGACGACTGAAGAAATTGCGAGGAAATATCAGGCGAGAGCGCGGTTCTTCGATTAATTGCAAGGAAGTCCCTAGCGAGAGCGCGATTCTTCAATCAATTGCTAAAACGCATTAGGCGGGAGCCGTTGAATTCTCACTTCTGAAGAATAATTATTGTTGATCCCCCCCACCAGTGCATACTGTTTTTTCTAAATCAAAGTGTGCCCCTCGACGCTCGCACCCTGTTCTTTTTTCCCAACCATCCTGTGGTGTTGGGTTCTCGTGTTGATGAGACGGCGCCCCGCGTTCGTCTCCTTCCTTCCCGCCCCCCTCCCCCTCCCTCCTCTCCCCTCCATCATCATCCATCATCATCATCATCATCATCACATCATCATCATCATCATCATCATCCACCACCACCACCATCATCATCATCATCATCATCATCATCATCATCATCATCATCATCATCATCATCATCATCATCATCATCATCATCATCATCATCATCATCATCATCATCATCATCATCATCATCATCATCATCATCATCATCATCATCGTCTTCGTCGTCTTCGTCGTCGTCATCGTCATCGTCATCATCATCAACATCATCAGTTCAAAGCTTCGTGGCCCCGTAGGGAGCTCCACCGAGGGTCCCATTAGTGGTGTTCGCATGCGTCTCCCCCACCCAAGAGAGCGCTTCGTGGCCCCATACAGAGCTCCCTCCACCGCAGGCCCCAGTGGGGGTGG